AGCTTAGCAAGATAATCAACTGGCTTATATGTTTCTTTATACACAAGAGACAATGAATATTGAAATTAGGCAACATCTCTTTTATCTTGTTTCAAAGCAAAATAACATTCCCATGTAGCTGATTTCCCTTCTAACAATTTGAAATAAAGAATTATCATCCATCTTAATGATTAAGTTATAGATATTGAGTTTTTCTTGCAGCACACCATAATAAAGAACAGTGAATTCAACAAAAAAGAGTTGAAGTTGCATCACAAGGAGCATAAAATGCAAGTAAGCGAACCCCCAAATGATCTCTAAAAATTCCACCAACACTGGCATTTTATTTGTTAACACTACCATCCACATTTAGCTTTAGAAAGGGCTTACAGGGCTTCTCCCATTTTGTCAATATACAATTATTTTTTAGAGAAATACCCTTTATAGAGCCATGAGAGTATTTTATAGACTTTTTAGTCAAAACAACTGCCTTATTAAAATCAATAGCCTTTGCGATAAAGGACTTTATATGAGAACCAAAATTCTATCTGCTGGGAAGATCAAATAATGATGCTTCCTCTTATCTCTTTCTGACCACAAAAACCAACAAACAATATAAGGAATCAAGTGTAGTATAATTATTAAATTGTTTTTATTTGGATGCCAAAAATGTTTGCATTGATTCAAGGAGTTATACCCCTTTTTAGGTAGAAAAATACCATAACTAAAAGCCATATTTTTTCAAATTTCCAATGCATATCTGCAAGAGAAAAAGAAATTATTAAACTGCTCCTCATCTTGCCTGCACATGAGGCAGCAAGATGTCAATCTAAGCACTTTTAATTTTAAGTTATCATCCACAGGTAATAGTTTATACTTCAATCTCCATCCAAAGAGAGACTGAGATGGTTTGAGAAACGAGTTCCAAAGGTTTCCACCTTCAATATTTTAATGCAAATGTATTCAGTTAGCAATTTCTTGAGATGGTGATTCGGAGATAGGAGTTTCTAACAACACCTTATCTTTTTTTTTTTTGATTTATCAAAAGGAATATTCATAATATTTTTAGCCAGATCATGAAGTAAGCAATGCAAGTGCTTATCCCTATTCCACTTATTATCAATCCAAAAATCAGCCACTTTTGATGAGAAGGGCTGATAACATTACAGAAGTCTTTTAAAGGACCCAAAGAAGACCAATCATCAAGCCAAAACCCAATGTCACCATTACCTAAATCCCAGACAATGGAAAGGTCAGCTTTTTTCCTAACCTTTAGCATCTCCCTCCACATTATGGAGTCACTTGGCTTATAAGAGCATAAAAGAGGTTGATCTAGCTTGCCATATTTTTGATTCATAACTTGAGTCCAATTACTCTGGTCTTTTCTGTATTTAACCTAGAGCTTACAAAAATTAATCTCCATAAAATTGTTGAAGGATCTAAATCCTAAACCACCTTTCTTTTTTGGTTTGCAAAGTTTGCTCCAAGAGGTCCAATAGATTCCAGTATCATGTCCGGCCCAAAAAAAATTGTTAAAAACTTTTTCAATTTTTAGTTTGCATGATTTTAGTCATTTTGTAATACATAAATTGGGAAGGAATTTAGGACATTTTGAAGCAAAGTAAGCCTATCGCCAAAGGATAGACTTGTATGTTTTCGGTTTTGAATTTTTTGAGATTTTAAGTAAAACATCATTAAAAAAGAATATTCTTCCTCCTATTAGTATTCAGATTAACACCAATGTATTTAAAGGGGAGGATACCCTGTTTGAAACCAGTATGCTGAAGAATCCAATGCTTCCTTTCAGTAGGAATATGCTTGCTAAATAATAACTCAATAGAGACCTGTTCAAAATGAGTTAGTATGGAAGTAATATATTTGATACAGTTCATGCTCATATTACAGAAAATAATGTTATCATCAACGAAAACAAGATGAGAAACTAATTTACTCCCTTTAGCATGGTACCTATAATTTTGATGACTACCTGGGAGATAATTTAGCTTCATAGAAAGATAATCAAAAGAAAGAATAAAATGAATAGGTGATAGAGGATCTCTCTGTTTTAAGCCCCTCTCTGATTTGAAATGACCATGGGTAGACCCATTTAAGTGAATGGAGTAATAATTGTTATCCAATAAAAGTTTAAGGAGATTGCAAAAATGATCATTAAAATATTTACTCTCAAGCACATCAAGAATGAAATCCCAATTAATGCTATCAACCTCTACACTTTGAGTCAATATTGATTAATAGTTCTTGTGTGATCAAGATGATGTTATTTATATTTCTCCCATTTATGAAAGCAGTTTGTTGTGAGCAAAGAAGATCATTTAACAAAGATTTAAGCCTCTTTACAATAATTTTACTTATGAGTCTAGAGACCACAATATTTAAGTTAATTTGCTTAAAATTTTTCCACTTATGCCTCGAATTTCCACTTATGCCTCGAATTGTCTTTAGGAATGAGAACAATAGTAGAACATCTAAAATATTTATGAGGAATGTCACCATGAAAAAAGCTTTGAATGACAGCCACCACGTCAGTTTTAACAATGTCCAAGCATGTATATTGAAGACAGATATAAATTCATCCGGGCCAGCCATTTTACTTTTATTAATGGATTTGAATGCCTTTAGCTCTTCCAAATCATTAGGACTATTGCTAAGAGTCGTAAAGTTAGCATTTCCAGTTTTAATAGGGAAAACACTTCTATCCAGTTGTATTCTATTGAACTCCACCTCCTTTAATAAAGTACTAAAGTAATCTATAACATAGTGGATTATATCAGTTTTGGAATGAATTCAAATATCGTCTTTATTTTTAATTTTTATGTTTGCACTATATTGTCTTTTATGTTCTATACAAGCATGAAAAAACTGTGTTTCTGTCCCCTTCCAAGTAGCTAAGAGGATTTCTGTTTTAGAAAATCAGTTTCTCTTTGCAGACAATTCTCTAAGGTACTATGAGCTCTTATGAGATCTTCCTCCTACTTCACCCCATCTTCAACCTCCAACTTTGAAAACTTCTCCAAAAACCTCCCGATTCCAGATTTTTGCCATTTTCTTATCTGATTGCCATAAGGAAATCCAAGGATTTTTATGACAGCCCTTAAGCTAGTTACTTTTTAATCTATCAAAGAAGTTAGGATGAGTGACCCACATATTCAAGAACCTGAAAGTGTTAACCGTTGGATTAAGGAGGTACTCCACCCTTAGGAGAAGGGGGGGAGTGATCAGAACCAGTACTGTTGAGGTTATTTACCTTCGAAAACTGAAAGGTATCAAGCCACTCATTATTTACCAGGATTCTACCTTTACACAATTTCTCCATATTTTTGGTATGGCAAGAATCAGAGAAATTTACTTCAACCCAACATCAGCAATATTATTCTTGAAAGTCTCCATAGTCCTATAACAAGGTGTTCTACCACCTTTCTTTTGCAAAGGTAATTGCATTGAAATCGCCACCAACTAGCCAAAGGCAGTTCAACTGAGATTTAATTAGCATTAAATCATTCCATAACTGAGCTCTATCAGAAGCAAGACGACCAGCATAAATAATAGAGACCTGCACAAGGACTCCAATGAATTTGACTTCCACATGAAAGAATTGAGGGTTATCCACCATAACTCTAATTCCCACATCTTTTTCTCTAAGAAACCAGATTTTTAGATTACAATTATAAGCAAATTTAAAATTTCATAACTTGCTTACAACATTGAGAATTTTTACCTCATTAATAAGAGGTTCAAGAATGCCAAAACAGCTAAGATTATGAACCTTACACAGATTTCCTAATCCTATCGAAGGCTTGCTTTTTAGCAATGCCCCTCACATTTCAAATGAGAAATTTAACCATCTAAAATTGGTATTTTCCCTCTTGTATTTCTAGAAGGCGCCCATCGTTCGCATTTACCTGAATACCAGCTGGGGAGTTCTCCCTAGAGGGTATTATGGTCTCTTTGTTCATATGTTTTAATTCCCTATTAGCATGTATTCTTCTTATCAATAGCCCCCACTTTCCATTCACCCAAGCGTTTTAGAATTTCAAAAAACCTTCTCATTATAGCAAAATTTAAGTGGCTCAATTAATTTAGAAGTTTCCGATTCAGAAAAGTATAGAGCAGGTTTATCATTCTTTCTTCCTGCTTTCTTTAACAAATCATCTTCAAGATTAACAGCGAAATCCTCACGCAAATGATTTGGAAAACAGAGGGAATTCCCTTCAATTCTTTGAGAACCCTTTAACATTTCAGCAAAGGAAGGCGCTGTCATAAGAAAGTTAAGAAAAATACCAATAAAAAAAAAGAAAGAAGAAGACAACAACTTCCCAACTAAAGAAAGAGATACATTTGTGCTGCTAAACGTACCCAACTTTTATTTAAACCGTTTTATTTTTTTTTCTTATGTCATCTAAGTTCTGATGATACTTTTAGAAGTTTTGAACTGCATTTGTCGCAGAAACATTGAAACTGATAACCGGGAATTGCTTTCATTGTTCCTGTGTTAGTTTTGCCAATAAAATGCTTTTATGAGAAACCAACTAAATCCTTCTTTGATATTGTAGCCGATATAACATTACAATTTGTAAAAGTCCCACATTTGACTTAACAAATCTCTTTGCAGCACTTTGTTTGCTGCATCACTAATTCTTGGCTATTTTAATCACAATGTAGAACCCTTGAGCAGCTGTTGATAAATTGAAGTCAGAATAATCAGAATTAAATTAAAAAACGGGAAGATTTACGAACATGCCAATCAATTCATTTGTATTTATATATCTATAATCTAAATTCATTTTTTACATACGGTACCTATGCATGTGTATTTCACTTTTTAAAAAGTTAAAATAATGGTATTTTTGATTTGACATTAAAGATTTGGGTTGTATAAATGTAAAAAACAAAATTTGGGTGTTATATATCTAAATAATTTTGAATTGGATGGTATGTATGGAAATGCCCCTAAAAAAAGACACTCCTATTAGAATCTAAATTGATGATTAACATTGTTGCAGATTTCAAGTGAAGATATCAGATGGGAAGGTGAGGATCCTTATATCACTCACAGATCAGGCAGGGGTGGACTAGGGAGAGGTGTTAAGAAGTCTCAAGGGGGTCCCTCTCCAGCTGGGGGTAGAGGGAGGGGCTTCTTGAAGAATCAGCCCAGAAAGGATTTTCAGCCGTCACAAAATGGCCTAAAAAAGAGCGTGGATGAATTCGAGATACTTAATACCGAAACACTAATTAAGGAGGTTTGTCAGACCAATTTTATGCTTGTACCAACTAAGAATATACTTTCGAAGGCACCATCAGCTCTTTCATTTAACATGCCAAACAGGTGGAGATGATTTTTGAAGCAACTCATCTTGATCCTCTTGAGTTTGAGAAGGCAAAGAAAGTTCTGAAGGTAAACATTTTAAACCCTTAAAATTGTTTCTTAATTCTTTTGGAAAGATGAAATTAAGTTGATTTTGTTTTCAGGAGCATGAACAATCTCTTTTGGATGCAATTGCAAGGCTTGCTGATGCATCAGATGATGAAAGTGGTAAACATGCTTATTCCACATTTCTAGACCAATTTTTTTAATGACTACTCTATCTGTATAAGGAAGACGTCTTAAATCTGTAAGACTTGTATATTTTTTCGCTTTCAATTAAATTGGAGGGATATTGATTCATGTAGGATTGACTTCTCGAATTGACAAAGCTGTACAAAAATGTGTTTGAATCATGAATTTTTGAACGGTGATCATCTGGAGTTGCTTCAAAACATTACATACCGTAAGGTTACTAAGCTATTATATTACTAACCAAAATTCACATCACAAACTCATTGGAGATAGGCAGACAATCATTCTTATTGCACGTAAATTGTCACCTAGGATCTAATGACCGTATTGGTTGTAACGAGACATCAACGCTACATTTTTTTCTTACTAATCTTGTTCCTTTATTGTAAATTTTGAGTCTTCTGTACTTCTTTTCTACTTGATTTTTTATAGCATAAACCCTTTTATATTTTGTCAAAATGTAGAAAATGATGATCATCATTTAGCCAACGGGCAATTGATGAACCGAGATAGGACTTGGAGGAACCAGCAGTACAACGGAAATCAACATGCAGGTAACTACGACAATGAAATGGCAGCGGTTGGAAGGGATGGTTTCGACGGTGAACACATGATTGGCGGTGGATGAGTGTGATTCTAACACACAAATTCAGCGCAGAGCATAATTTTTGGTCAAAGATGGAAGGAGTTTGCATTAGTTAGTTTGTGGAGAGTAGCTCCCTATTTATATTACTCACAAGTGTAAAAGTAGCAGGTTCATATTTGAGGGTAAAATCTTCTGATGATATATTGTTATTTTTTATTGCACTGTTTTTGCATCCAGTTGGATGCTGGTGATGCCTCTGTAAAATAATGGAATGAATATCGCGCTTGCCTGTAAATGACTTAGGTTGGTAGTGGCTTCCAGTTTTTGGCTTTGTTATTTCACCAATCTTTCTTTCTTATCTGAATCTTCTTAGTATTTATGAGAAATTGTTGTGATAAGTTTCTAATTTGAGTGGAGATTGTAATTTTATTTCATCAGAAAAAAATTGTAATGTATACAGTAATTTTAAAAGAATAAGCAGTTAGTTATCTGTAAACCGGTCGAAAGCCGATTCGAATAATAAAAAACTCTTTTGACCGTTACATATATTTTGCCAACTTTGCTTGTTGACAGTTTACATTTTGGCTCTCAATTTTGCTGTTAATCGTTTTTTGAAGATTCTTTTTGGAGGTTTCATCTGAATTATCAGACAAACATCCTAGGAAGCATAAAAAAAAATTCAAAAAGATCGATCGCAGCGAACATGATAGGAGAAACCTACAGAGCAGTAATATTAGCAACTACTAAAAAACCATAGAGAACTGACATAAAAAAAACTAAGGAATGAACTTTATAAACTATTTGAAAAGAATTTTATCCTTTATTTAAAGGAGTAAACAAAGACCATGATATAATTTTAACAGAATGGAAAATTCTCATACTCAGAAAACAGCCAACAAGCAAAAGAATAAAGAGCTCAATAAAAAAAAATTACTAAAGCTAAGACAACACCAAGTAGCAAAAAAATTCTCCCAAACACCAAACAAAAATTGGCTATAAACACCTAACCTAAAACCGAAACAACAAAATTATCTTGAATCAGAGAAAGAAATAAAGAAAAGCCTAAATCTCATAAGCAACAGTTTGAATGGCTAACACATGAAATCAATTCTAAATTTTACAATTAATAGTCTCAGCAAGATAGAGGACTTGAAAAGAATTACTAGCATCATGCTTGGATGTAGTGGGATTAAGGCTTTGTTGTTGTTGTTGTTGTATGCTTGGATGTAGAAATGTATTTCGTCCATGTCTGACCAGTGACTTCCTGGTAAGAAAATGATTTTTGTTTACATATTTTATTCAACTTTCTAAGTAAACAAAACTCAGATTAATCAAACTAATTTATAGCTTCATGGGTTAACAAAAGTGTAACATAAAAAGTAAACTATTTGTGATATATTGCAAAAAAAAATTTTAAAACATAAAAAGTAAACTATTTGTGATATATTGCAAAAATTTTCTTAAAGAAATATTGTTATTATTATTAATAAGAGATAATTTAAATTAACTAATTATAATACATTTTCCATGCGAAGAAGCGAATGCTGAACTTCAACTATTTGAATTCTTCTATAGGATATAAATTGATTCAAAATTTTCTAAATAAATATTTCATTAACATGCTTCATGTCTCAATGTGTCAATCTTAGAATATTCTAAAAGGATATGTACTGCAAACTCGTGATTTTAAAAAAAAATGGTTTTAAAAGTTTTGTTTTTTCTTTCCATCCTAGTTGACAACTTTATAAGTGAGATGTGTTCATTTTCTTTTGTAATAGTTTTAACACGAATCAACTTTGGTGATTGAGCATTAATGTATGTGTTGATGTTAAAATCACAACATTTCATGTCTATACTATTCTTGAATCTTTCTTGATAGTGATGTGAGATGCTTCATTTTGTCAGGTTTCCTAGTACTAAATATAGTGAGATTTCTCAATTTTGAGCAAATTCAATCATAAATTTGGACACGTGAATGAGAATATGAAAGAAACTGAACCAATATCTTTTGTGATAAGACCTAAAATTTTAAACCACTAAGCTAAAATTAATTGCATGCTATAATACAATTTGATTATGTAAGAAACACTAATTAATGACATCAAGCATAAAAGGAACTGTGATTTCTAGCTATCATTGATGATATAGCTCAACTATAATTCAATAAATTTAAAATCCTTACATATTTTTATTATATAACAATATCATCTCATGTCATATACTATCATATCAGATCCACTATAAGTTATATGTCATATAAAATCCACTATAAGTTAACCTATCATATCATATTATAATACTATGTCACATCGTATTGCTTTATATCATAGTGTTATTTTACTAGCATCATATGATCAAATCATGTCATATTATATCACATCACATCACATTATATCATAAACCTTTTTGGTTCTGCATATCAATGCACTCTAAGATTTTTAAGAGTTGTATGACAACAAATTAGATTTAAGTTAGTGGGATTTAATAAATCCTATAAACTTGGATTTAGTAAATCATAGAAGGGTTAAATTCTAAAAATAGTTTGACAATGAATTTAATTAATCTAGTTAAATCATGTCAAACTGTTTGACAAACTCTACAAGTATTTAAAAGTTTGTTACATTTAGAATGAATAGTTATAATTAAATTTGATTATTTTATTAGTATGATTGAAATTAATTATTAAACTTAATTAAATTTATTTGAATTTTATTTCTAAATCTTTAATTATTAATTAATCATTCACTGAACTAATTAATTATTAATAAGAAAATACTAAATTAATTATTTGTTAAGTAATAATTTAACATTAATCAATCATTAATTTATTAGTTATTAATTATTTTTATTAAATTTATATTAAGAATTTTATTATATAATAAAATTTTAAAATATATTTTACTTCAAAATTAATTAATACATAATTGCATATAAATTTATTTAATTATAATTAATTTTATAATGAATGAATGAATTATTAATTATTATTTAGTAATCATTTAAATTAATCAATCTTACTTAAATAAAAATAAATTACAACCACAAACCTATCTCTCCTTCTCCTCTTTGTCCCAAACCCTCGCCTTCATCACTCCTTTCTCTACCCAAAACCCTCGCTTGTCCCTTCCCCTGCACAAACCATTTCTTTCGTGATTCAACCCTCAACAAACATTCACATTAGAGCTAACTTGAAAGGCAATGACAAGATCACGTTGTATATAGACTCAAAATTCCCATCTTTCTCCTCCTTCCAGTCCACTCCTACCTAAAAACATAGAAGAAGCTAACTTCATATTCTACATTTCGTGTCAAGAACCCATCCTAGATTTACTAAATTCTCTAATTTGTGGGAATTAGTAAATACTGGATTCACAGTAGAAATTCGTAAAATTTTGATCTATCAAATTTATGGCTTTATTTTGTCCAAGCTGACCCTCTAACAAGTTTTAGGTTAAATCTTGCACTAAATCTGTTACCAAACAAGAATAAGGGTTTTAGAAATTACTTGTGTTAGTCAGCTAGAGGTGTAATGGAGCTAAGCTGGTTCATGAGTAGCTCAGGCTCACCTCAATAATAGCTCACGAGCTGAATGAGTTAACGAGACTAAGGGTTAAGCTAGTCTTGACTCGATTTGTTAGCTCATGAGTTAGTTTTTTTAATTACTATATATACACATAAAATAGATTAATATTAAGAAATTATTTATAAATTATTTTAAATTTTTTTAAAAACTTATATTTTATATCCAATGATTTCCATTATTTATCTCATAATTGCTAATTTTATTTGTTATTTTGTTATAACAATAGATTGAATTAATATTGTCTTCTATCTTTCATAATAAATAAGTTAGCTCATAATCCAACTTGTACTTGTAGATTTAATCTCAAGCATAAGTAACTAATCTTGCTTAAGCTCAAGTCAAAAGTGACTAAAGGTTGACTCGACTCGTTCATACCTCTGTAATCAGTCTAAGTCAAAATAAAGTATACCCTTACCATTGAGTAACTCTAAGGTGATTGAGGTTTACATGGTGTAGACCCTTATATAACATAACCTTTGATTTGGAGAAGTTTTTGCAATCAATTTGTTGTGTTATTTTGAAGGTTTAAGATGATTTGACCTGATTTCACTCCCATTGGGTCAAACGAGGCACATTAACCCATTTATTTAAGTATAAATATGCTAATGGATCAAATGAGTTGAATATAGTTGACTATGACATTGACTTAAAATTACTTCCAAAATTTTTGATGAGATTTGAACATATGAGTAGTCAAAAGAACATTTAAAATGAAAGTTGATTATTTGGGTTCAAGTGGGAGTAGTTGAGTCATTCTTTAATTGATCAACAAAGAGTGACAAAATATCTTGCATTGAACCAAATATATTTTCTAGACATCCTTACCTACAAGTTTTCCTTAGAAATTAATTAAATTTGGCCATTTTGTTGAATTGAATGGTGGGTGCCTTCCTATTGTGAAATGGCCAATTTGTTTGCCCAAATATGTGCAAATAGATGACCAAAGGTAATTGGATATACTTAAACATATGTTAATAATTCTAAAAGAGTTTACTATCTAATTAATCTGAGGAGTAAGGTCATTTATGTTCATTTGGCCCATTTAAAACAATATGAGTCAATTAGGCCTATAGGGGTCAATATCGCAATGGTTTGCCTAACCAATTTAAATTTTAAGGTTAAATTATTGACAATAATAGTTTATCTAAGTTTTTTGATAATTAATTAGAAGGACTTTTTGTTCATGAGGTCTTTTTGAGGGTTGAGTTGTAGTGGAGTTTTTTATATAACTGAGTTATATATATATTTTCAGTTATAATATTGTCCTAAAATTTTTAACTAGAATTTAAATGTTTAATTTGTGCTCATTTAGATTTAGATCAGATCATTTTTTGGTGTTATTTTCTTATTGTGATGCTTTGTTTGACTATAAACTTACTAAAATTCAAGAGTGAATTATCCTAAAATTATTTTTTAGAAAATTTCAAATCAGATTGGATAAAGATTCCTTCATGAACATGTGAATTATTTGATGATATATCAATATTAAGTTATAATACTAAATTTTTAAATTTTTTATCTTAAATTTGACCGGAGAAAACAACTTTTTAAAAACCTGATTTAAATATCTTTTATCAATTATAGTGAAAGGCAACATCAAATTAAAAAAGTAAAAAAAGTCTTTTTATGAAAAAAATGATGTTATTTAAGAAAATTATAACTTCTACCATATTGTTTTAATTATTAAAAACACTAAACATCAAACATAAAAAAAAAAAAAAAATAAACACACAAACACACACACACACACACACACAC